ATTTGGCTGTGTAAGTAGGTAAATAATAATGTAATTTCCGAGGAGTCGGAAGGAATTTTCTATGCAGCAGGCATAGCTGATTGAACGAAAGAAGATTTTATATGTGACAATTCGTTTGTCAAAACTTTAAACGCATTTTTTTCGAAACAACGTTTTGTAATCGGTGTGCATGATAACTTAAAAAGCATTTAACCAACCGGTCTGAAATTTTAATATGTTCTTTTACGTAACAGTAGCTCCAGTATAGACTAGAATAAATAGGATTGGTTAATTTTTTTCTCAATTTTTAACGTTTATTTTACGAAGAAAATGCTATTTTTGAGACCACCAACTTTGGAGGTCCACCATTTTGTAAATTTTTGTTCAAACAAAATAACCGTAATACATACTGGGGCCATAGTCATACTTTTTCCAAGGATAATACTTTTTTTTTTAGACGTTCCGGTGAGCCGCAATTGTGCACATCAGTAGATCAAAATTTTTTAAATTGACCTCCATGAGGCTGCAGAAAACCCCTATAAAATATCATTTATAGAATTATATAAAAATTTGTTTTTATATTTGAAGACTTAAGATATATGTAAAAAAAATTACGGACTCAAAAAATGTTTTTTCATCACTTTATCAGTCCCACAAAAATTGTCAAAATTTTCGACCGAGAAAGTGTAAGGTCCCCTTAAGAGCTATAATACCAAATCATTGCTAGTTAATTCTAATACCGTTTACGTTTGTTATGATACGATAAGTAATGTTATACGAAACGCTCTAAATTTTCGTAGCTGTCAACGTGTTAATATTGAAATGAATTTTGTGCAATTATGCAGTAAATGACCCCCCGCCTCCTCAAATAAAAAACAACCCTCATTTATACCGATATCTATCATCCGACTAACTTATCTTTATACAGGGTGTCTCAAAAATCGTGGTATGATCGCTCGGGTGGTAATTGTACATCTAAAAATAAGTCGCAGAAGAAGAATAACATTTTTTCTTTTAATGCTTAGTTTTTGAAAAAAACGAGTTCGAATATCCGTCAGAAACCTCTGTATTACCTGTAAGTTTCGAAGTATGAAACTTCTGTTTCTACCCTTGTTTGTGTTAGTAAACATCGACAATTTCGTAATTTGTATGTACGAGGAAAGGTATGAAACTGCCGTGATCAAGTAAAAACTTTTGTAACAGAGCATACCCACGTGAAATCCGAGAAGGCGACAGTCAACGCGAAGCCGCGCGTTTATGCTTGTAGTCGTCTCACGGACGCGCTGTACATAGAATGCAAATAGTGATAGCAAAAGTTTTTCGCGATTACCTTGGGAAGTAAATGTTAGCGACATTTGTTTGAAAGGAAAAAGTTGTTCCAAATGCCCAATTCTAGCAATATTTAATGGTTTTATTCAAATCGGTTACTACGGTCATCTGACACAGTATTACCGTTTCGCGTTACCGTAAAGGTGCTAAACTTTTCTCGCTCACCTCCGCAACGGTCGAATAGCTCGGTTGTACGATTATCAGCATCCTAGTTACGTGGAAGATACACCACATGCCCTGCACCGCTAGAAATATCCATTCATGTCCTTCGCCTGCTTGCAGGATCAGAAAATAAGGTGTGATGACCAGGTGTAATAGGCAAGACGTGGTGACTGCCAATATCACGATGCCGAACGTGTTGTTTATAAGAGAGACGGTGTCGCAGAGCGACGAATGCGTCATTATCAACTCGTGTATGCTATTGGCGTGCGTTTCACTCCCTGTGAAAGTAGAGGACACACGAACTTTGTAAAATCGACTGGAATTTTCATTTTCGTTTGAATGAATTCGTTGTGTCGTACCCTTTGGGTTCCACAAAATGTGTTGAGCGCTTAATTCGAATTGCCTACACGGCACGATATCGTGGTTCAATCCTTTTTCGCGAAGATCACCTGTCATCACTGTTATCCGTTGCATCGTTGGTCAATTGTATGTGGTACAAACGTAGAATCCAAAATGAATGGTTTGAACAACTTTTTTTTATTTGTGAAACGTAAAGGATTTCCCGTTCTTGTGTACTTTACCTGTTTTAGCGGGACTCCCCTTCAAGCAATCGCTGGGTGACGGATTGCTGCCATTTAATAGGCTCTTGAGACTGTTGTTCAATTTGACGAACCTCTGGCTCACGTTATACGTGGCGACGGTGTACTGAAGTTCCGTCGAAATGATAACGGTGTACATGAAATACAAGGGTGCATAGTTAATAGGACCTTTGTCGTCCATCGTCTTGGTGAGATTCGTCTTGCGCGTCCATGCGTAGAAATCAAGGCCGGAGTTGAGCCATAGGTAAGCGAGGCTGCACACCGTTATACAAATGGTGAACATCCGAGAATTTTTCATGGAGTGCACACCGAATTTCTCGTCCACCTAAAATTAGTATTGAAATCAGCGTTACCAAGGTCGATGTCACTGATCAGCTCAGCTCTGCCAGCGTGTCACGACGCAATGGATATTGAAACAACAGCTAACCCCTTGCTATAAGATGTATTTCTCAACTATGATCGATGCAACTACTTTGTTATTAATAATCTATTGAAAAAGAGAAAAATTATAGACATATTCTGTGCCAACGTTTATTCTAAAGTATAATAATTGATGGCAGAAGAATAATATTTAATTCGAATTCATAAGAACTAAGGAATATTTAATATTAGGTTTACGAAACACGTCAACTGAATCTTATAAACATTATTTGGTAAATGCTTCAGCCGATTTTGATTGATGCAGTTATACGGATATATATCTTAATTGTTTATTTTTTTCAACTTTTTTAGGAACAATAGAGTAAATTGTACGAAAACGCCCATAAACCTAGTGTTAAAATTGTTAAATTCTGTTTAACCATGTGAGTGTCAAGTGCGAGATCTCGCTTCTCAGTTACACTGCCTAAAAGTGCCAGCCATTTGGTTCGTAGAATTTAATTAAGTTTATTTATTTATTTCCCTTCTAATTATTTATTTTTATCTTTGTTATTGACTGCTTAGAAATGGAAAATGGAATGATCGCACGAAAGATAGTAATAATTCCGAAGAAGATGAAAGCAGCAAAAAAGAAAATCTAGGAAAGAACTAATCGAAATTTGTAAATTCGGCTCTGCCTCGATACGAGAGTCCAGACACGAAAGTCCAGAAAGTGAAAAAGCACGAAAGGGAGCAGTGGAAGAACAGTAAGCAGGAAAAGGAAGAAAACAATTAAAAAAGATGTAAAAACACGAAAAGAGAAGATTCTAATGAAAAAGTAATAGTGTACATTATTAAGAGAAACATGTTTTAAAACATTACATAATACAAAATAGTTATATGAAAGTAATATTTCATTTGTTTTACTTTTGAATAAGTTTCTCAGTTGAAACAAAAGAAACGCAATTGCACCGCTTCGTATTTTTCGACCGGCTTTCTGCAAATTGTGACATTCAAACAGCTAAGTTTTCACTACAAGTCTGATACGTTATTATAAGAGAAGGGGTTAGCCCATCTGCATCATTAAGCGGAATAATCCGCGCACAATAATTGTTGCTCATTCTCAAGAGCAAAATATTCCACACACAATTACTTTTAGTTATTTATCTGCTACTCGATAATATCGGTCGAAGCAGATTAACCCGTTAACTGTGGAATTCAGTTAAAAAAATCTCTCGTTTTGCGCGCAATAAAATAAAAAAAATGAAGTGTGTACTCGTCAAATGCAGGATGAATAAAACCTAGGGTATATTGTAATGAAAACCCAAAGCAGAACAAAGAAGAATTACGTGTTTATGTGAAAAAATAGATAATTCACCGTTGAAAGGATTAGTATCATTTCAAACTTCAACACTAAAACTACCAGACAGGTCAAAATGACCCATTGCTGATTTCTTCTTTTTACAATTATTAAAAAAATAGCACATGTTTCTCTGGGAAATTATTGAAGAAATTGATTTAGCAATATACAAACTGAAATTTAAATTAATTAAAGTTTTAATAGATACACCCTCGAAGTTTTTATAGAGGATTTTCAAAAAGTCAGTTTTACTGATCGATAGGTTTAGTGTTAAAATGACGTGTATACTCGTCAAACGCGATTAACTGGTGAATTTCAATCAAAAACTTGGAAGATTTCCAGTTGAGCATCTCTGATTTATAAACTAAGCTTCGCATGTAGAGCGAAAATGCAAATGGTTAAGAAAACTACGCGAATCACGTTCACCTCAATTAATTTGTTCGCTACGACTTGCAAGTATTTCCATCGAAAAAACGAGCCGCCGATGCAGACCACCGTCAAGCTCATCACACCAAGAACGTCGCTGCATGTGGCTATCACCGCTGTTCGAGACTTGAGCCTAGTGCTGTGCTTCCATCCGTCTTTCAAATCTCGCCACAGACCCCAAATTTCAGAACCGAGGAGCAACACTAACACGCACAAGCTAGAAAAACAAGTAACTGCGTTATTTTCCAATCACCTGTGTCTCGTCTTCATTGAGTACACGATTTTCTTTTGATTTTTCTATCGGTTTCTCATTCTGTATTTTGTATTGTGTATTCTGTATTCTGCATTCTTTGGCATCTGTTACCTGTATATGAGATTGAGCACGGTTAGATGTGTCTGATATTTGCCATCAGCCTGTACAACGAATTTAACTGGGATCAAGCCGCACACTTTGCCAAGGTAATAGATTGGAAAGATCGCGTGGCAGAGATTCTTTTGCGCAGCGAGTTCGTCTCTTCTTCTATTCGATTTTTCCTCGGATTTCCCTTCGAACTTGATTGTCCGTTTTCCTGAAAATATTCTATGTAAGTACTGTGTAATAGAAACATCTCGTTGCGACTCAGTCTAATTACAAGATAAAATGATACGCCACCACGCAAAAGAGACGGACGTTAATCCCTTGCCCTATGATTTATCGCTTAGCTATGATCGATGCAACTCCTTTATCGTTAATAATTTATTAAGAAATGATACAATTTTTATGTTTATTTTATGTCTACGTTTATTTCGAAGGTTAATGATTAATAATAGAAAAGTAATATTTAATTTGTATTTAAAAAATATAAATAACACTTAGATTTCTTACATTCAGTTGAAAATTTCGTCACAAGTCTAATACGATATTGTAGGTGAAGGGGTTAAACGGACTTTTTAGTACAGTATTTTCGCGATTAGTACCAAAAAATCGGGACTGCAGCCGGGCACTAATCATGTAGTGGTGTTAATTCAAAGTTAAGATAAGATCCGAGGCGAGCTCCCCTATTTATCCTCTGTGAAGAACAGAGTTAAACTTTTTCGTTTCTCACTATCACTACTTGAAACTTCTATCAATTGAATTGTAAGGTTTTTCTGATTACAACGAGACCAAACACGTCATATTTTAGAATATATTTACTTATTTAATAAACTACAATAGTCTATTTTATTCCAGTAAATTATGACTTAACACGTTGAACGTCGCACAATTTCATAGAGCAAAATACACAAAATGGAAAAAATACAATATTAAATCATTTGACTGAATTGGATTATTATCATTGCACGTTCACCAAACTGAACGGCACCGCAATGGGTATCATTATTTATAATATAGAAATATTTGCGAATAATCATCGTTGAATTGAGTGAATTATAGTAATTCGATTTGCTTGGGGGTCACCGGTGACCCCCATGGCATTCAACGTGTTAAAGTCTCATGTTTGGTCTCGTTTTAATCAGAAGAATCTCACAAACGCATTAGTAAAAATTTCATTTACCAAAAAATACGTATAAAAAGGTTTTAAAAGTGCCTTAATATTGTCAATATTTTCTCACTAATATCTACTCCCACTGAACAACGTGTCATATTGCTCAACCGTCGAACTTCTTGGCTTGCTGGGGGGACTCGCCTCTCAGTGATGGGGATGACTACAGGTCATTAATCCTGCAGATCGGACTTAATCGGGTACTAATTGCGAGAATACTATATGTTGCTTTTCGATTCTTACGTATTATACGGACCACCCTTGTTTCTTAACCAGTTAACTGCGTTTAACGAGCATACACGTCATCTGAAAATTCGAAACGATACTAATCTTTTCAACGATTAGTTTTTAAATTAGATATTTCTTCAAATACACATGTAATTCCTCTTCGTTTTGCCATAGCTTTTTGTTAGAATATATTATAGGTGCATTTGGCTCGTGTTTGACAAGCATACACATCATTATTTAATTTCATTAGCAGCATTACCAGAGATTTTTGAAATTAAATTTCACAGTTAACAGGTTAATATTGTAACACATCGGTAATATTTTATCATTATTATTATGATTATTAATATTTTATTTCTTAAAAACGAAAGTGACCCGCGTAATACGTCAGAATCGCTTTTTCTCGTTAACTCAAACAAGAGACGAATTAATTCTCTACAACGATGCCCCGACCGAGATAAGACAAGAAACGTTACTCGATTTGCTCGCGGAGTTTCGCTCGTCGATGTCGTTCCATCGAACGTGCATCTTTTCTCTTGCGAACACGGATCTCCTTCGTACTAGATCACCAGGCTTGCCGCGACGCTTGGACTGCCCTCCAAGGAAAACCCATTCGAAGCTGAATAGGCGAATAGAAGACTGAAAGCTATATGTCCGGCGTTGGAAGAGGTGGATTTTCTAAACAAAGTCAATGATTACTCTACTCGACGCCACACACAAAGGAAGAAAATAATATTGTGCTAAGCGACCATGGAAAGATATCTACACACGCAAGCAGAATGAATATACGTATACGCGTACTGCTTTTCTTTATTGTAGTGTACACTATTCTCCACTAGTGAGAACACATTCATTCTTGTCAGATCGTCGATAGATAATTATCATTGATTGTCGCGTTTCTGACACACGTTGTTTATCGGCTTGAAGAATTGCCGTCGCATGTATCAAATTCATTGTAATCAATGAAAGCTTTCAACGATCGTTGACGGTTAATTCAAGATTCGGAATTATGTATTTAATTTGTTAAAGAAAGACGATAAGCTACTAAGGATTGGGTATTCATATCATCGTTGGATTTCGAGTACGTTTTACATTAGGAATGTTTTTGATCGACGCAAAGGGCTGATCGTAATGATTACAATATAGAAGAAGATGAAATAAGGTCGCGCTGCGAATAAACACCGCGTGTAGACGTGTATGTGATGTTTGCAACTGGAATGTCGTGATAATTTACGATAATATGTTTGTAGTGGCGTTGTCCACGATCTGGTTTGATACGTCACGAAAGCCTGGCGCGTCCGTGAGAAAATAGTAATTGTTTTCCCAAGATTCATGTGTATACAATGACTAATCGACCGATCATTTTATTTCTCGCCTTATCTTGCCATTAATTTTACAGGTGTCCTTATTTCTTGGACATATCCCTTTTTTCTCTTTTCAATGCACGTGACATTACTGAATGGAAGGTTTCTTAAATTGCATTGCTTGCGATTGGGTACGATTGTGTGTCCGCGCGCGCGCGCGCGCGCGTGTATGTGAGTGTGTGTGCGTGTATTAAAGCATTAACAAAGAAAACAAGAATATTTAGTACAATCCGTTTGACAAACATGTTTAAACCTATAGCCTTTGATGTAAATTACATAAAACCAAATGAGAAAGGAAGACAAAGTAAAATTAGTCTATCATTAAACACACATTAACATAAAACTGATCTTTTTTGAAGCAGTTATATGTACTGCTTTTCTGTACATATAATATAAAATATGTCTACTTAATATAAAAATAATATACATATTTATATGATACAAAAATTATTTATATAATACAAATAATGTAATTATTATTATTACAGTTATGAATGTCAGAGTCAAGGTTTATTAACAAGCTTCCAGTTAAAATTTTGTTATTAATAGTTTATTTTTCTTTATTATCTGATTTACGGTACGTTCAGACTTATTTTTATCAGAATATCTACAGTAGATATCTGTGGGTATCCAAAATTTTGAGTTCGGATCAGGTTGGAAAAAATCAGACGAGTTCGGGTAAGTACCCAGCATATTCAAATCTTCATGTAGCTTGATCCCCACAGATAGTTAAAAAATTGTGGATTAAATCAGTCGAGCACGGATCAATTCTTTCGATACTCCAGATTCAAAATACGATTCGCAATTCGTATCAATGTGGACCATGATTTATGTACTCAATTTTTTAAGATAATCGATTCGTCAGCGTCAGACCCAATGAATATTTTTTCTTCTTTGTTCACATCGCACAATTAGTTACTCGTGTCGACATTAATACAATCTAATATCGAGTAGTAATAAAAGTATAAAAGCGTATTTAAATGTTTTCATAATGTTTGCGCAGGAATCTATTATTTAACACTAGAACTACTAGGCGGATCAAAACGACCAATTCCTAATTTCTTCTTTTACAATTAGTATAAAGATACAGACACTTCTTTAAGAAATGATTAAAGAAGCCGATTTAGGAATATCTAAACTGAAATACAAACCAATTGAAATCTTAATAAATTCACACTTATAGCTTTTATAAAGAAATTTTAAAAAGACGGTTTAAGTGCTCGGTAGTTCTAGTGTTAAAAAAGATAGAGTGTATAGGTACATAAGAACCGCATTGATACAAATTTCGAATCATATTTTGAATCACAGGTCTCGGACTTAACCTTGTCTGAACATGGCAAATTTCATATGATTGTTTTAAGTTTAACGTTTACAATCAGGCTATCTGATATTCAAATACGTCGGGTACATCCGCCCGAACTCGCCCGACTTTTTCCGATCCGACACGACTGGTCGGTACCCGTCATTTTGAATCACGCATATTCACAATTTCTAGTCGTTTCATGATGTCTGCATAACATAATTGAAAATTATTAAATATATTTAATTTGTAAAAGTAATAAGATATCACGAATTTTGTAAAACTTTATTAGTACACAATGATTTAAAAAAAATATAAACTTTATTTAGTACACGATAATTAGGTCACGTAATTCGACTCTTCTCAGGTTATAGCTGTCGGTCAATATGAAAATTGAATCGCATATCTTTCGCACATTTACCAGCCAAGTTCAAATTTTTTATTACTGCCACGTTCGGGTATGTCCTATCTTTTAAATTGAACTTTCAAGCGGAATGATACATAACCCATAATATATGGTTCTCTTTAAAATTTTTGTCTAATAGTTGTTTATATGATTAAATATTTCACAGCCCGCGATTAATACATAATGTTGAATGCCTTTTTTAGTTCTTGTTTTTAGTTTCTGTGCAATACTTTATTCTCGCTAAAAATTTTAGGTTTTTGGAAAAACCCACATTTGAAAAAAAAAGTTTTAGGTTTTTTGAAAAACCCACATTTTAAAAAAGATCTTAGATTTTCCGAAAACTCACATTTTACAAAAATGGAAGGTGATAGCAATTAACCAGTTAACTACGTTGTAGTAATAAAATAAGTTATTTATAATAAAACTTATTTTATTATTATACTATTTATTTATTTTTTCAGATAAACGTGCAATTCTTCGTCGTTTCGCTGTAGTTTTTCATTAGAATGTATTATAGATGCAGTTGCTCTACGTTTGACGAGTTTATTATTTGATTTTATTGCGTGCACAATGAGAAATGTTTCAAACTAAATTCCACAATTAACTGGTTAAAATTAGCAATTTTGTGTAACAGAACACTTGAGTAGGGCGTGTACGAGTGTACGCCAGGGGTCGGAGGCTAGGAGCATGTGTGTATGCAGCTGCAAGGGGCTATGGTTTATCGGAGTATGTATAGATGCGGCTTTAACGTTTTACCTTACAATATCGTGTCAGACACGAGACGAAGATTTCGAATATGGTTTAACAAACATAAATGTCATCGAGTTGTGTTAAGTTTAAATGAAACATTATTGTTCTTGTTAGCCATTTGTATGGTCTATACTAAATCTAGACATAGAAAGAGCATGGAATGTTTTCTTTTGTTAGTGCATTATTAACGATAAATAATTCTAACAAATGCACCTACGAAATTAAATCGTCAGGCAAGGGGTTAAGAAGCAAGCATTTCATTTTCATTATGTAAAATATAGGATTATGGCCGTCACAAATATGTGACGCTGGTAGTGAATGTCTTAAGGCCCCAATTTACGTTGAAACAGGCGGCGATGCACTGCTACAACCAATGGATTTAAACCTTTTTCACTCTTTGAGTTAACGTGTATCATGAAAGATTGAAAGACTCAAACCTAACGCTTGTAGCGATGCCTGTATTGCTACAGGTTTCAACGTATATGGGAACCTTTAGAGTTGATGGCAATAATATTGTGGGATAGCGGAGGTTTTGGCGAAAACAAGCCTAGGTGTATTTGTATGTTTATTGCAATAGACTATAAGCGACTGCAATTAAACTAAACTATTCTATGCAATACTACTCTGTTCCACGCTGGTCTACGCTAATCTACTACTCTAGACTGTTAACACTAGAACTACCGTACCAGTCAAAATGACTGGTTTTGATTTTTTTGTTTAGGAATTATTGATATCTTCGAAGCATCAAATATTCGGAATGATTTTGAAAATAAATAGCTTCATTTGAGTACTATAATGAATGTCTGAAGAAACTGAAAATAATCTATTGTTACAATTTTTATGGGAATTGCATATTAATCGTATTAAATGCTCAGTAGTTCTACTGTTAAACTGCATTGTCTACGCTAGTCCACTCTGACCTGCTCCTCTCAATCACGCAACTACACTCTCCGCCGAAAAGGGTCTCACAATCGTCTTAATTTCATCAACACGGGGCATGATTCTACAGGCCATCGTCGACCGCCTGCGAACCATCTGGGTCAAAGCAACCTGGTCGTAACGGTCCGAGTATGCGCCGCAGAGGTCTCGAGTATACCTCTAAGGAATAGCGTTCACTGTGGTAACTAATCGTAACTCCATAAAACTTGCATTTAGTAAACAAGACATTAATCCGCGTATTGGTCGGTGAACGTTGTTATTACAGAACTGTAACTACAAGATTGAGCATCGATCCGGGAGCCGAATGACACACGTTGATGCCCTCAGCCGCGTGGCAATGGTGATCGAGCCTATGTAGTTTGACCAAGTCCTTGCTTATAAGCATTGGAAGATCTTGAAATTTAAAAATTACTCCACGAATTGGAAATGAAAGAAAGCGAGTGTTTTAAACTGCGTAACGGCTTGTTATTTTGTAAACTGTGGGTATTATTTTACGTTTTCAAAATGGTGGTCTCTAGCGTAATCCCAACATGTTGCGAGGTAGGACATGTAGGTACAGGAGAAACCTAGTCACTCAAGTGTACTGGTTTTCAAACGTGAAACAGCGAGTAGGAGACTAATATACACAATTGCTTAAAATTTATGTTTAATCGTTTACTCTCCGAATTCCTTTTGCAGTTTTTTTCTCGATAACTCTATATTATTAAAAATGTTTTTGAAATGCCCTTTGAAGAATAGTTAGTTTGTAGAAAGCAGTGTAAACAGTTCTTTTTATTAATAATATTGAAAACAGCATAATAATATATATGCTGCAATGCATATATATTGCATTTTTAAAATATCTTGACCAAGAAGCACACCTATGAATAAAACTGATGTCGAGTCATGACATAGGGGCGCAAAGGGTTAACACGTTCGCTACCAGCGTTTGATTCAGTAGCGATTCTCTTAATTATAATATTTTAATCAATTCATTAAATCTTCTAAACAAACTATTGAAACAAATGAAGCTAAAACGAGTCATTGAATCCTTAAATGTAATTTCGTAGCTTGTAACTTTAACTAACTATATGTATAGGATTAATTTCATTTTCTTTATATAAAATATAGGATTGCGGCCGTTACAAATATATGACACTGGTAGCGAACGTGTTAAGTTACAATGTATCCTCAGGATAAAAGAGGGGCACTTGCACTCGATCGATAAGAATAGTGAACCTCTTTAAACCATGCACGTTGAACACTTCGGATCACTGCAAAACACTCATAAAGGTAACATACATTTTAGTGATTATCGACACTTTTATCAAATTCATGATATTATACGTGACAAAAAGTACAAAGGTGGAGGAAACCAAAAAAACTGCAGCTTTAAGGGACAAGATGCTTGGAGTATGTATGTGAGCAGGATCTTCTATATGAAAATTATAATTTTGTTGATTAGCCTAGAACTGACTGTGGACGCATTACGAGAGAACAGGAAGAGAATTTATCTTTACGTTATTGTTAGTTTTCCTGTTAGTTTTCCTTTTACAAAAAAGAAAGTTTATTTTGAAGTTCTGTTTTGTGTTAATAAAGTTTTCATTGCAAGCATTGATTATTTTACATCTGTTTCTTGATGGAAACTTTACAAAGATTACCGTTTGTGGATTATAAATAAAAATTTGCGTTGACTATATAGTTACCTATCATCTCGACAGAGTTATGTAGTATCAAAGCGACATCTAACGTCAACATGGATGACCGTATTTTCAATCCCAAATGTGTTGTGGATTATCGTGTCTGGTAATGTTTCTTACAGGGGAGGTTATGGTCTGTTTTGAATAGAGAAAGGATGGACCGTAATGAGGAAGAATGGTCAATAGATTGTTCAGACGACGAGAAATACGAAACTGGTGGAAAGGTAAGCAACACAAATGTTGTTTTTTACATTTCATTATCCATGCATTTTTTATGCCTGCTTTCTTATTCTGTTACTCCACATAGAATGAATGGAATTTAAAGCCCGACGACATATTAACACTGATTGAGGCTTTAGAAGCTAACAACAGGGTTTTGGATCTTGAGTGGAAATGTCCTGGAAGAAGAGGCCCATCTCCATTACTTTCAAACAATCGACAACAGGATAATGGCTCGCAAGAATACAAGTACACATTTGAATTTTATTCGTAATGATTATAAATTAATTATATTTTATTACAATGTTTCTTCTTACAAATTTTGTATCAGGATGGAAGAAAAGTCAGATTTTGATTTTATGGATGAGATGTCATCGCCTAGATTGCCTGTACGAAGAATAGGTGAGAGTACTCCAAAAGGGAGTGCCAAGAAAAAGACTGCTAGCTTCAATGGTGTCTTATCAACAATGTTACGGCATCGTAGATTGGAACAACAGGAAATTAATTTGAGTCCGAAGAAAACGGAGTCTCCTCCTGTACCAAAGACCTAACATACAGTGAGTTACAGAATTATTGGTACACCTAAAGACTTATAAGTAATGTGTAAAATAAGTAAATAAAAGTATAATTTTCTAGTATTTTTTATTTAAGAACAAGTACCTTGTGGCAATAATAGTGTTTTTCTTTAAAATAATCAGTTGTTATTTATTATATATTTCATTGAGTTTATTGTTTATTTGAATTTGTTTTGTGAATTATATTTCATATTGCACGTTTCAGATTTTAATATTATAAGGTTTCAATTATATCATATTATAAATTTTGTACTCTCCAAATCTTTTAAAGATTTTCGTATTTAGCAAATGTTCCTAAAATAATTATTTTCTTGGCACATTGAAATTATTTTTTGATATATCTGGATATATAGTTTTGTTCATGATATCTTCTATTATGTATATTTCCAATTTCATGAAAACTAATGCATCCCTAGATTATAATTTTACTATTTATATGTTTAAGTGAATGCAATAAATGTTTAATCTTTAATTCTTGATAATTTTGTATAACTATCAGAGCCACAAATATTGTATTCATTTTCACTGAAAAGTATAATGTTATGCTGAAATAGTAAGCTCTTCAATATATTTTTTGGTAACAACTATACTTTTTGCTTTATTAATTATATTGTTCTAATGGTGTCTTTTTTATAACATCTGAATTATAAATCATTTTGTAAACTGTTTCATGAAGAACAGTTTCTTTTTACTACAATTTTCGAAAATTATGTTTATTTTAAATACACTTATTTTTGTTCTTTTTTACTTTTCAATTAATAAAATATTCCTGTGATAAATTTAATAGTTTTTCTGCTATGTTTTATTTTATTCTCCAATCTTTGTAAATTTCAAATAATATTTTACTGAATGATTTCTCATTCTTCTAATGCAAAATAATATCTATTTTACAGCACATTCACATTTTTGTATTTTTCACTCAATTCAAGGTTTCTTATATATTGGGACATATTACATCGATTGTGAAGTCAATATTAAAAACAAATCTAGAGTAAAATATCTACATATGCTCTTTTCTTACAATTCACAAAATTTGTCAAGAATTTTATGAAATTGAAGCAAGCAAAGTTTAAAATATTTTACTATCCCTTGATTTTATAATGTACTCTTATTTTCTTTAGTAATTTCAATTCCTTAGAATATAAACTATTTGACTTTAAATGAACAATACTGTCTGTTATTCTTTCATGTATTTATTTTACACATTCCTGTTAAGTTTTTAGGTGTATCAATCATTTTGTGATTCACGGTAAATACCGAATAGGAGAAAGTACAAGGTAAGAACAAAAAAAACGAACGTTTCTCAATACAGTACTTTCAATTCAGTTGTGCTTAGAATTTTCGCCGGACTCTACAGTTTCAGCAGCCCATGACGGAAACTCGTTGGCAGAGTAAATCCAGGAACTCCAAACGAAGAAACACATACTTTGAACCAGAAGTGAATAGATGGATGGTCCGCAACCTCCTATTATTAACCACTTCGTCGGAATCCGGCCCATCATTGATATAATAGCGTTCGGTGGTGTACCAACTGGTAACCGAAAGGAATAGGAGCACATTATAGTTGCTGGTATCATCAAATACATAGGGTGGATCTTCATTGCTACAGACTGCGAGAAACACAACCATAATTGACATACTGATGAGGTTGCACGATTGACTAGTGAAATACTTTAAGTTTGAAATAATTTATATTAGGGAAATTCCGGGTGAGATGGCTCGATTTCATATAGATTTTCAAATTTCTATATTTTCAGTTGTTTTTAGTCGTTTCTATTCTTTCTATTTGTATTTATTTTTTTCTATTACACATTAACCCTTCGTGGTCAAATATGGTCTCAATGACGACTTCGAGCTTTCCTGTCTGAAATCGAAAGTTGCAAATAAGTAACTTAATTATTTAAATAATGAGAGTTTGATACGTAGTTTCTTTTTTCTAATATTTAAGATTTCGAAACATAACTCAATTTTTTATGCAAAGAGGTTTCAAAGGTTTGAAAAGTTCTCGTCCGCAAAGGGTTAATGATATTTATGGTGTAATAGTTCTTTTAAAAAAGCGAGTCATCTCTTCCACGCTTATCCTATACCTACCATTTGAGCAATGACAGGTAGGGTAATGTTTGCGATACCGACGTTCGAAGTGAATTCCGTGATCGTACCAATAAACATGGATACTAGGATAAGTATCAGCGGAGGCGGCAAAACCCGCAGCGGCATAAGAGCGTTGCCGATCGTTTGGGCCAAACCGGAAGCGATGCTGCCTTTGGATATCGCGAATCCACCGCCCAAAAGGAACATTAGACTCCAGGGCATTTCTTTTTCAATCACGTTCCATGTGATTAAACCTTCCGAAGACCTTTTTGGTCTTTTCGCAGCTGCGAATGCAATTTCAATTAATAATTAACATGGCGTAACTCGTCAATTAAGAGTACGTTTATAGCGGAGTTGCGATAGAAGCTAAGAGAGTTGTGCGTCGATCAGAACGACGATAAAATATCTGCCTGTGGTGCGTTTATAGTGGAGCTACTGAAAGTTGCTAAAGTAATCATGATTACCGTTGAGCGCCGAGAAATGATATATCATGAAACAAATAGGGTATAAACGTGACTTTGATATATTGTATTAGAATTATTAAACGTAATTCTAAGCGTCGTTTTCATTATAAAACAAAAGCATGTATTTGAGTATCGCAGTTCTGCTATAAACGTATCTTTACCAGTAGAATATTGTTAATACTTACGATCACTGTTATAATTGTAAATAAATTTGGGATCTTTTGGGATGAAGAACATCAGGATGGAAACAAATATAACAGGTGTCGAGTCCTGAATGTTTCTATTAATTTGTGTAAATGTTAGTTCGTTAGAACAAATGGCGAGACACTATGTATAGCAGGGTTGTCCAACCTTTTAGCTTCTCTGAGCCTCATTGGAAGAAGATGGATTGTTATGGGCCATAGATAAATTAATAGCATGTTTCACTTGTATTTGTATTATTGTTAACCCATTCGAGACGAGAGTTTTTTTTTAAAGACGGTACCCAGATCTCGAAATCATCATTTTCATAATTACCATTTATTTGTTACAATTCCAACAATTCGATTATGGGTAACTCTTTTTAGAGTTTTAGCTTGAACCCAATACAAGTATTAATTTTTGCACACCTTTGACATTTACCATTTACCAGTAAAATATGCTAATTTTTCACAATTCACTGACAATAGAAATTGATGATCATCACACACACGGTGTGTAATTCGTCTCTGTCTAGGAAACGCGTTACACACGTGGAATTGTAATTCGTCTTAAATGGGTTAATGAGTCTTTTAGTCACAATCTCAAAGTTTGTAAGTATATTTTTCGTTGGGCCGCATTCACAATCGTCTTGGGTCGCGGGTTGGACAAGCCTAATGTATAGGATAGATATAGTAACAGTGATATTGTGGATATTCACAGATAAAGACGAAATTAAAAATAGGAGAAGTAGGAGAATGTTAAAGCGGGTCCAAAGTTTTGTCGAATTATGTGACAGTGGTAAAGAAAGGTATTTAACATGTCCGTGATTGCCTCGGACCATCCACGGATAAAGCCGGGTTTACGGAATATCCAAAGCAATATACAGGTCCCAAAAAGAACGGCGACACCGGTTTCATGGAAAGTAATGCCGCCCAGGTCCTTGTATCTTGCTTGTATCACCTGGAGTGCATAGCAAAATAACGATAGAGTACAAGAATAAATACAAGCGACCGGTGCACATGAATAGATATTAAAGCTTTTCATTACTCGATTCGTAATTGCTTCACCTTCCTCTCCGATGGTCGCCAATTGTGCGTCCCTGCTACGCGGTCTGAGGAATCCAGTGAAAGCTATGCGAAGATAAAGCCAAGTCAGGAACGAATTGATGACCATTTGCGGGATATTAGCGATCATCCATTGCGTGAAGTTGACGCCCTCAGCGGCAGGGAAAGTGCTCTCGTATATCCCTTTGAAAGTAAGATTGGTGCCGGTGCCCACTAATGTTCCCGTTCCGCCAAAGGTAGAGCAATACGCCGCAGCCATTAAATAAGCCTTGGTCAGATTCGTGGGCTCCAGTTCACTATGATTTTTGTCGATTTTTGTTCGTTTCCAAGCACTTTTCAAACTCTGTTCTCTCCTCTCGCTCTTATACTCATCCTCCTCTCGGTCACTATACTTAGATACTTACGGTTCCTCTTCCGGATCCTCTGAATCAATCGGCGCTGTATCGAAGATCTGACATAGTCCAGCCTATATGTACATCGCATGAGAAACAAGTGGAATAAGTATCTTAGCTAATTAACCGTTTGAGTACCAACCGGCATTATCGCACTTCTCCGTTACACTGCCTAACACGTTGACTGCCACGAAAAATTTCAGCGTTTTATGTGTCATTTTTTCTTTTATAATGAAAATAAAAAGAAATGATTTTCAATTATTTGGTATTACAATTCTTAAGTTACATTATTATCTATTTATTTACACGGTTGAACATTTTTCTTGGATGTCAGTTATCCTACGAGGTGTAATTATTTTCAAGTCATTTGGAAGCTTCGGTCATTGGTGACCACCGTAGCAATCAACTTGTTAACCGTTTGAGTCCCACGCGCCACTTTCGCACTCTTTAGATTTCATGTCGAAAAAACTCAGCGCATTTGAACAATACGGACAACTGACAGCGTACTCAATCTGACGAAACGCTCAACTTTTCAGACGCATGTACGTCGCATCGCTACCTTTTTTGCATACAAGTAATCCAAGTAATACATTTTGTATTTCGTTGTTACCTATTATAAATTATCATATAAACATAATAGTATTAACATAGATTAAGACAAGCGTTATCGCGCTGCTTAGCTTTTCTCAATATGAAATAAAAGGAGGGCTATCGCGCCGCTTGGATCTTTCCGCGACCCATTCAGAAAGCACTATTGCGCTTTTCGGCTTTTTTCAACCGTGTTTTTTTAAAAACCTCTGATACTCAAACGGTTGAAAGTGCCAGTCTATCGGTTCGTAGAATCAGATGAAGCTTATTTATTTGTTTTCCTTCTAATTATTCATTCTTATTTTTATTATTACCCGCTTAGAACTGGAAAAATGTAACGATCGCGCTATTTAAAATTTAAAATTTGTTTTTGTAAAAATAGAAAAGCGTCGTTCAGTCTCTGAATTAAAATGAAAGAAGTGCGTTCACGCCGCTTGGTATTTTAGTTTTTCAAAGGGTTAATTAGTTTATCAATTGAATTAACCCTCTGTAGGTCCATGTAACTTTGAAGTCACACATCAGTATATTGGCATCTTGTTGATTTATTTCATTCTGCACTCAAAGTGGTGAATAAAATTAAGTAATCAGTTAACTTAAACTTCTATACACTCAGGCGTGAAAGTTTAGCGTCATTATAACGTGAAAGTTACGAAACATATTCGTTTGATGAAATTATTGAAAGTATTGAACACATTGTTAATTTGTATTCATATGTGGATATTTATAAATTTTGTACTGCATAGATTTTGTTATAATCGTGAACAAAAATTCGGCCCATAGAGGGTTAAGATGACAAACCTGTGCTGTGAGAAGTGTTCAAAGTTTCCGGGTGTAAGCAGTCTGCATTAGGAATTGTTTCCCGACGTTTCGCTAGCATTACAGCTGGCATCAGCAGGGGTTTGAGGACTCATTGATACTGGTTAGCCAGAATCAGTGCTTCCTATTTAAGACGTTCAATGCCGCACGATTTCGTATAACAAAATACACGACATGGAAAAAATGCGCGTTACGTTGGCGCATCCGATGCCACACGATAACGGAGACGTTTATTTCAAGGCGGGGATGTTTGCTGAGTAAATGACGACTCTGGCGGATAATGAATAAAAGGAAATAGATGAATCTTTCAGAAACTGTATGGGGAATTAATTGTCTTATCTATTTTGATCTTGAGATTTCTCGTTGAGTATTTGATTTAGTGTGAATCCAGCCGAAAGTGATTGATAGCGTTAGCTACCTTATTTTATGGTTCGATTCAAGATGTTCTATGTACATTAGAAAAACGACAATTTCATATGCAACAGATAAATGAAAATATGTAGTTACCGTTGCAGAAATTCGCTCGGAATTAATCTCACCCGATGAACGAAGTAATTAAGGGGACGATAAAAAAATATTGAAGCCTCTCGGACCTGTTCTCCGTTCGCCGGACTAAATGAACTCATAACAATATAATGTTAAATCATTTGATTGAATTGCACTACTATTACACGTTCATCTAGCTGAATGTCACAGCATTAGATAGCATTATTTATAATATAGGAATTTTTTCAAATAATTGTCGTTTAATTGAGTGAACTATATTAAGTCGATTTGGTTGGGGGTCACCGGTGACCCCATGGCATTCAACGTGTTAAGCATACCTTACTCGGAGTTACGGATGGATGTTCACCAATCCGGTGTTTTTCATTGGTCAGCTGATCAATTAAAAGTTGGGAGTATGGTGGTCCAACTTCGGCTAAGTTGGTAACCAGAGTCCTTGTTGTAATCGTTGAGACGTTTCAAGATTTCTAGCATTTCTCTGTATTTCCTCTGATAGAAGCCTGTGGTTATTACTATTATTTTAACTCTTTGCGCTCGAAAAGTGACTTTCAGTCACCACTAGATTCGATATAGCAAAATTATCGTCTTATACAAGGTGTGCACACTATTACTAGCCAGCGTTTTCCTTGTAAATAGTAAATATTAGAAAAGAATGAAAGAGGAAAAAGTAGTACTGTTTTTTATACGCAACACAATGGCGTATGACTTTTTATGTTTATATTATTTTGTTAGATATGAAGGTAACCTTCATTTTTTTTTAAATAGAATGCTGTGTATTTTTTATGTCATATAAAAGCGTGTGTCTAGACGAATTGATCCGTATGCAGAGTGACATTCAAGGTTATGCAAGATCCGAAATAGAAGAAACATTTTGAATATTTCATACCAATGTATTCTTTATTGGTGAAGCTATAGTAAATGTTCAATGACTTTCTTGTACATGAATGCACATTTCGGCTCTATTAATTACATTTTTGATGTTCGACTGTTCAAGTCGTTTACATCTCTGGGCAGTGTATCGTAAACGAACGCTTTAATAGCACTCCATAAAAAACAGTCCAGGGGTGATAAATCTGGAGATCTTGCTGGCCACAAGACAAGTCCGTATGTTCCAGTCCATCGGCTTTGAAACATGTCGTTGAGATAATTTCTTACGATTCTGCTATTATGTGGTATGAAATATTCAAAATGTTTCTTCCATTTATGACCTTGCATAACCTTGAAGGTCACTCTGCATACGGATCAATTCGTCTGGACACACGCTTTTATGTGATATAAAAAATGTACAGCATTCCATTAAAAAAAAAATGAAGGTCACCTACATATCTAACAAAATAGTATAAACACAAAAAGATTACATACTCCATTGTGTTGCGTATAAAAAACAGTACTACTTTTTCCTCTTTGTATAGTGCATACTGTATAGTGCATCAATGTGTAAAATATTGAATTAAAATAGCTTCGTTTCTTAATTTACAATACGTTTCCACGTTTGCTATTTTCGAAGAATGTTGTTTATATATCTCACTGAAAAATGTTGCATATTTCTAGGAAAGAACTTCCGAGTGCAAAGGGTGAACATTTTCAAACAGAATTTTGTGTCTCATGGTTATCTAGTGTTCGGCCACGGCTGATCGCGTGTATCCCAATCCGTAGCAAGATATGCTTAACCCTTTGCCCTATAATTTATTTTTTAACTGTGGTCGATACAACTGTGTAATTAACTTCATCGTTAATTATTTATTAGGACAAGTCAAAATGTTACTTATTCTATGTCTACGTTCACTCCAAAGGTTAAGGATTGATAATAGAAAAGTAATATTTAATCCTTTGCATTCGAGAGGTGACTCTCAGTCATCACTTGATTTGATGCAGTAAAACTATAAAATTTGATATTCAACATTGAACTGTGTAATGCATTCATGTGTGAAGTATTGGTATAAAAAAGCTTTGTTTCTCAATTCACTTGCGATTTCTCTTTGAGTTAATTTCAAAAAATATCGTCCGCGTCTAGTTAGAAAATGTTGAGTATTTCTAACGAAATACTTCCGAGTACAAAGGGTTAGTATATATTTGAAAAAGAATAAATAACACGTAGATTTCTGAAATTCAGTTTAAAATTTTCGTCACGAGTCTGACACGACATTGCAGATCAAGGGGTTAAATGGAAGGCACTGATTCCGGCTAACCATCATCAGCGAGTCCTCAAACCCCGGGATACCAGCTGCAATGCTAGCAACACGTCGGGAAATAATTTCTAATGATCACGGCTGACACTCGGGAACTTTAAACACCTCTTATAATATTCCTGATTGAGAAAGCCTCAAACAAACCTGTTCCAGTTCATCGAGAATGGCGAATATGATCGGCACCATCATAGCAGTGGCTGCAGTGTTCGAAACCCACATGGATATGAAAGTGGTGACGGCGCAGACACCGGCGAGCAGCCTCGCGTGGCTGCAGCCGACCATCTTCATTACGCCGAGGGCGATTCTCAGGTGGAGATTGCTATGCTGGATGGCCAGTGCGAGGACCAAGCCACCTATGAAAACCATTATAGTGTCGTTCATGTAACAGCTGCAAGTCTCTGCCGTGCCTAACACCCCCAACATGGGGAACAGCACCACAGGCAGGAGCGATGTGACTGCCATAGGAAAGCATTCGGTAATCCAGTATCCACCCATTATCAGTATAACGTACGCGCATCGGATTTGCTATGGAAGACGTGAAATAAAACAAGGTATTATTTGCAACCCTATTTCAGTCGCGCATTGGCTAAATCTGTTTACACTAGGGTTACGGACGTTTATTGTATGGTGTATTCTATTGTTCCTAGAAAAATTGATATTCATTAGTCTGCATCTTGGAAATTAGGGATTTAAAAATAGACTACTAGGATACATATCCGCGTAAATGTATCGATCAAGACCGACACGAACATTTACCCACTAACGTTTATGAAATTCAATATGAGTCAAATTGACCGCGAACCTAGTGTTAAACTTACTTTTTGAATTTTTTGTAATTTTATAGTTGAAACGTTTAGTTAATTTTGAACTCCTTATATTCTAATATTGTAATTATAAATTGTCTTGTTAGCGGGTTTAGTACCAGGAAATAACGAAAATTCTTTCAGCCATGCGAGAATTGCAATAACTTTACATATTCGTTGAATTGAAGTTACATCTGTAACTATACAGTAAAATATATCTTATAATCTATATTTGATTTTCTCTTTAAAGGGAGGGTTTAGAAATCAGTGTATAATGTTACATTACCTTCCTCTACCTTTATTTTATGGAGTTAAATAATTTAGCCAGTTCAACGGTTTAACCCTAAACGTACCACGTGTTTTTATAACGAATCATACCACGATGTGACTCTCAGTCACTTATAAGAATAAAAGGAACGATTAAAACGTTATTGTTTTTGTTTATAGGGCCAAAATTTTTAAAGCCCAAAAAAACTTTTGGAAATGCAATATGAAATAATGAAAAAATTGAAGTAAAAAGTTCAAATGTGACTCAAAGTCACATCGTGGTCCGATTAGGGTTAAAAACTGTGTCAGAATAGTTTTCACGTACCGGATCTTGAAAAAGGACAACGAATGGTGCCAGGAAAGTTGCCCACGTTACGGCGAATATTATTTTCCAATAAATCTTGAGAAATCGTATTGTCAGAAGCAGTTTACTCTCCGACGATCCCTCATCTTGGTCTTGTCCTGTTCTAACAGCCATGTTTCATTTGATATTTTTCAGGTTTTTGAGGTTTACGCGTTCGTTAGGATATTCTGCAAACTTTCGTTAGTTTTCCGGTGCTTTTCTTGATGTCTCGTGGTAAATAATAATTGTCACGATGGATGGTTTGCTCATTTGTATAATACAACGCGAATACATGCGTGCATATATATTTGGCTTACTTCCCTCTAATTATTTTACATCATTTGTTGACTTCTATTTGCATTTCAATATACTTTCGTTGAATTTGCTGTCATGTGACGTAGTTTTTCTTTCGATCTGTATTATAGATTCCTTCTGTGACCATACGTCACTGAAAGAACATTTACCATTAAGTGGTAACGTAATTTACTAACAACACGGGACAACGGATCATTCGAATTGTTATCCAGCTATTCACCCTTTGCACTCCAAAAATTTGTCACTAGAAATATTCAATTTATTTTTATGAGATATAGATGACATTTTTTTAAACTAACTTAACGAGGAATCTATTCACAAAATAAGGGGAACAATGGTATTTTATTTCCACATTTCACGTATCGACAGATTACTCAAGACTTAATGTTAAATACGAAATTTTACAATTTTGATGCAGCAATCGAGTGGTGACTGAGAGGTACCTTTGGAGTACAAAGGGTTCAATTTCAATATTTCACTTTACTTCCAAAAACCTGTCAAATTCTTTTGAACTGAAATTACACATACCGCTTATTTTTATATAGAAATAATGTGTATGAAAAGGATTTTCGGCAATTAGAAAATTAACACACAAAATTTGGTAGCATAAAATCTAAACAAACACTGTATACAATATCATTTTTTATCTGCGTTCTACAATACCAATACCGTAAAAATTGTTCTGTGGCGCGTATCTTCATTCAATATATTTATTTAGAATGTTCACCAAATTATAATGTTGAAATATTTTTATCGACCAACTTCTATGACGACTTGTTTCTAACTGACTATTTTCAAAAAGAATATCACAGATATTAACAAGAGAATTTTGAAATATGAAGTTAAACAATTTCTGGCAACAAATATAAATTGACTTTATCTACAATCTACGTGACCGACACATCTGATACAGTTCCAGCTCACTAGCAGATTCTACGTGAATAGAATTGTAGCCAATGTGTCGGTAATGTTGGTTTCTACTTGTAAATAAAGTAAATTTCTGTTTGTTATCAAAAATCGTTTAACTATACATTTTAAATTCTTTTGTTAATATCCATGATATTCATTTTTGTAAGCATTCAGTTAGAAACAAGCCGTCATAGTAGTTGGTCGATAAAATATTTCAACATTATAATTTTGTGAACATTGTAAATAAGTAATAAATTGAATAAAGAAACACGCCACAGAATCAGCTATTGAACTATATAAAACTGCAACCGCACATCTCAAATCTGCGCTGAAGATATACAGGGTGTAACTAAATTGTTACGTACAAATGGGAGGGCGTGTACAACTTACTAAACTGAGCGAAAAACCTCAGTGAACGTGGGTCCAAAAGTCAGTAGTTTCCAAAATAAAAATAGTTTTAATTTAAGAAAAAATATATGGGGACCGAATCAAGCGCACCGAATTATGTGGAAAAGTATCAGTGATAGAAACAATGATGCTGATGTTTTGATAATTGTTTACAAGAAAAATTTCTTGTTTACGGTTTGGAAACGTCTGAATGTCGGCATAAAAAATATGGGGTTCTATTTAAGAATTGTGACCTCTGCAGAACGTTACAAGGTCACCTCACGGTGAAATACCTCTCACCGTGACATGTAGTGTTTCATACCCTATAACTTTTGTTTGACACATTTGTTCGTATCATTGATACATTTCGAGATCATTCGGAGTTCTTGATTTGGTCCCCATACATTTTTTTTAAACTAAACCTATTTTTATCTCGGAAACTATTGAGTGTTGGACACATATGTACTGGGGTCTTTTCACTCAGTTTAGTGAGTTGTATACGCCCTATTATTTGTGCGCAATTTAGTAACACCCTGTATATAAAATATATCGCTAACAACTTTAATCCTTTGCGGTCCGAAGTGCTTTTAGCTTCTCGTTTTGAGGTTCACATCGACGTTATAATCTGACGCTCTAATTATGTATTCAAGAATACTTGGGAATCACTGAAATGGTACCTTTAAATGGCACAATTTTGATACTACAAATGAACGTAGAAGAAATGGTTAAAGTAAGTTGATGTTGCAATAAAATCGAATATTGAATCTGACTCGACATAGGATTGCTAAGGGTTAATCCTTTACACTCGATAATATTTTCCACTATAAATATTCATTGCTTTCTACCGCAATATTGACGATACTATTTGCAACAATCATAAAGAAAAATCTTACATAAAAAAAGGTGACAACTATATTATTCCTATACTTCATACGTTGGTACCTAATACAAAATTGAAAATCGAATTTCTAAATTTATAATTTAACTGTAT